AACCTCGCCGAAGACGCTTTGAGGATGAATACTTGGGACTAATTACTATCCTTTTGTGATTGACTGCTCATTCTCTAAAAGCTGTAAAGCTGCTACTGGCCTCTTATGCAGGCAATTTGCATCCCTTTGCGTTGCCCGCAAGTGTGTGAGCCCGCCCTGCCCTAAACCAACATGGAAACCCCATACCCCATTGAAGCACCTTTAAAAAGATGCAGCGGTCTACAAGGAGCGCCTTGTGAGGTTCCGGAGCAGGGTAGCTATGCCGGAAGCTTCATGTTGCAGTTTCACACGGTACAGCCGCCACCAAACTAAGCCCTAAACCTTGAGCCCCACAACTTCATCCCAAGATCCTTAGCCCAAAGCCAAAAACTCCTTCAAGCCACAGTCACAACATCTAGGGTCCGAACCCAAACCTCGAACCTCGAACAGAAAGAAAGCCGTAAATCCTAAGCCTAGGCCCTACACCTGCAATCCCTTGATCAGCTGAAGTCAGGCCAGGGTGCTCCAGCGCCATTTCCAGCCAAAGCCTCAAACCGAAGCAGCCTTTACCAAGTTCAGAACCTTACGAAGGTTCTTAGCATAGCGCTTCTTAGGGCCGAGGATTTCGAATTTCCGGTCGACAGTTGGAGTTTCGAGTTACGCCGAAGTTGTATGAAATGTGATGGGTGGGTCAACAGTTGCGGATTTGGGTCCAAGAATCATGTTTGCCTCCAACTACGTCTTCCCAAACAGGTTGAGACGTCAGAGTACGTGTATCTGAGACGTTACTAACTTCATGGGATTTGAGGCTTAGTATGTTGCTGGATCCCGATTGCATTCCCATCAACCCTTCCTGAGCAAGTTTCATTCCTACCTGGAGTTTCCTGGGGCTCAGCAAGTTTGTAGTTGTTGCAATCACAATTCTACTTCGAACCCCTACAACAGTGGCTTAGAGAGGTTACCCCAATTACAAGAAGGGTTATAATAGCCTGGGTATAGGCAGTGACCAGGTCCCACAGAGCCAGAACCATGCAACTTCCTGAGCTTGGTCGCTGCCTCGCTGCCCTCCCCACAGCAAGGGCCGACTTGGGGTTGACGACCTGTAAAAGGTTGCAGGCCTCAAACACCTGTATCAATTGCAGATTGGATGGTTGGGAAAAGAAGTGAGGCTGCGGGTTTTGCACAGTGTAGGGGCCTTGCTGGCAGGTCGTCTTCTTTGACAATGCAATGTTGAGGCCGTCCTTGGGGGTGTTGTCTTATGTCATGGTCAGTTCTCGGGGCACTGCAAAAAGCAGATCTCAACCTTGGGGTCACAAGCAAGCCAGGCCCTCATATGCTTGGCTATTTTAAGCCTTGTGACTTCATGAAGGTGCAGTGAGGCGTGAGAGGCTAAACCCGAGGTGGGAGGGAAACCCGTCTGAGTCTGAAGTGAGAGGAGTTTGGGGTATGCTGAGCTCAAGCTTAAGTAAACTGATGCTGGCCATACTACATGAAACCCATGCCCAAGTGCGCACGCCGCTCGGCTCACATGAAGCCTGAACCCCAAACTCTGGCCTGGGCCTAGGCCTAAGCAAGGCAGAAGACTTGCATGGTGCTTGCAGGACAGCCTTCAGCAAACATGAGACTGTCGCATGCACATCTTAGCCTGAATGTGCATCATGTCCAAATCAAGCCAAGTTTGCTGGATCCTGGAAATTGCTCTGCCAGCTGTGCCATTGAATTGCTACGAGTGGATGCAGCTACAATTTGCCCGTCAGGATGCACTTGCCTCTCCGGAACTTCTGGCTTCGGCCGGGAGAGCAGACTTGTTTTCGCACTCCAGGCAGTTCAGCTAATTTTGGTGCTACTTATGTAAGCAGGGTAGCCACTACTACTACTTTTCATGGTCGGCACTTTCCATGCTCTGCTCAAGTCACCGTCAGAAATGGTTCGACTTAATCATTGCTTTTATTAGTGTAATCGCTAACGCGAGACCGCCTCGGCAAGTGTGGTCCAGGCGCAAGAGCATGCTAGCAGGAACAGCATACCGCTGTTTTGGCCTCGTGCCTAGGGGGAGTCTGCATTTCAGACCCACGCCAGCCTGTACGGCACCCTCCTGCCCCAAAAACAAAAACAAAAAAAGAAACACACAGCGTTCGGACCCCGCCCCGGAATCGTGGGAGGGTTAGCTTACTTTCCTCGTCTCCGGCTCTCGGATCTAAACGCCCCAGGCCTCCGGCCTCGGCAGTTTGTCATGAACCAGATTCTTGGCTTTGCTGTTGCAAGTTCCGCACGATTTGCATCACGAGGAAGAATGGATGGTAAAAGCCTAGGAATCCTATTCTCGTCTATATATAAGTTGTCTTTGCGACTCCGCTCCCTGCAGACTCGGTGGGCACTTGATTGTACACCGCAGCTCGGAATCGTAAACCTCAAGCTACAAATTTCAGACTAGAGCCCAACCCCACAACCCAACCTCAAACCTCTCACCTACTTGAAGGAAATTGGCAAGCTGCTCGCCAACCCCAGCTCGTATCCTGTCCGGGTGTCTTCCCGCATCTGACCTTCAAGTGTGCCGGGCACTTAGTTATGAGTACACCATTTATGTCAACACCTGGCTTACAAGGGTAAAGGACGTACACCATAGTATATTAGAACACACTGTAGTATAATCTTTGTATCCTGTGGTTAGTGTAGTATACTGTGTTCCCTGTGCATGTAGTCAAGGTTGGATTAGGCCATCGGCCATCCCCCAACAATGTTCATGGACAGAACGTGTTGAAAAGGTCATACCTCTTGAGCAGGCGTCGTTCAGACTCCCACTTGATATAAAAGCGTCCTGTCCGTAGCAGTACTTCTTTTCAAGCAACGGTGGTATCGAGCCCCAACTCGCCTCTGATCCTCACAACATCAACTTGCGCAATCCTTCAAAAACCTGATCCTGCATGAGCCAACAAGATCAAGGACACCCCCAGGTGGGTGGCTTACGGGTGAGTACCCCCCATAAGGGTAACGGGGTCTATATAGTCCTCCTATTAGCCTGATAAGTACGCATCTCTAGGTCCCTTGACATGAGGGATGCAGTTTTAAAACAAAAGCGCTGGTTTGCAGCTTTCCTTATTCCAAGGAGTGGCGAGTTCAAGCTCACCATGCAAGCATCGGGAAGGATGGGCTTTTGAGGGGAGGGATCTTCATCTGCCGTATCCCGGTTTCTTTTTGCGAGCCCCAACCAAAATCTTGAAAGCCATCATGTGAGTGACCCGAAGAAACACAGCAGATGCAAGAATGCCAAGATACTTCGTGCTTCGATAGTTTTAGAACAGGAATGCTATAGCTAAAGCGATCTAAAGCCTGATGAACCTTCCGCATCGTGCAGGACTGCTTTGGGAAATGCTACCCTGGCACATGCTAGCAGCGGGGTTCGCGCGCAGTCACTGGACAGCAGGCTGGAACGTTGGCTGGCTACGAGGTCTAGTTAATGATAGCACATTCAGAATGATCCTGAAACACTAGGCAGAAACTGAGTACTAGTTGCAAGGGCTATGTGGATGAGTAACACGAGAACAGGGAATAGCAGCATCACTAGGAATGGTGCGGAAATGTGCGTTGACTGCTGGTTCTGTAGAGGTGCCTGAAGTTCGCGGACGCGAGCCGGCAGCAAGCAGGATGCAGATTCTTCTCACAGATGCTTGGGTCGTGCTTAAAGATCATCAATCCTTGTCTTAAGCGACCTATTAAGCACGAATTCTCCATCCATGGGTTGGAGTTTGGTGCTGGCAGCGGGATCGGTCAAGCGAAGAGTCAAGCGCAACTGCACTAAGGGTGGCGTGGCAGTTTCGCAAAAGTATGAGTCCCCTCAAAGTCTGGGCCAATCAAGACGGAGCATGCTGGGGGGATTAGAATGGGGAGAAGCGTCCTCATCATTGTTGTTGCTATACGGCCACTCCTCGTACTGGGCCATAACACTGATTTTCCAGGGTGTCCAGCTTGCCTGCAAATAGATTCTTGACACTGCTGCTGGAAGTTCTAGATCGATTGGCATTAGGCGTGTGCACTTACGTTGAGGAAGAATGGATGTCCTGCTGTAGTCCAGACGCAAGTAACCTTTGCGACCCTGCTCCTGGGGTACTCTGGGGACATCCCTCAATTCGGTGCGATCTCCGTGCCATCTTATCTCTCTGCGGCCAAAGCCAGCAGCGCAGATAAAGCAGGACACAGAAGAAGCTAACCAGCACCGTAAGAGCACATCGCTCAGTGGCTGGAAGTCATGATGAAGAGAGGACAGATGAAGATGGCTTGTAGCTGAGGTAGTGCCAGGTGGTTGGTTTGGTTTTCCATTCCTGCCAAGATTTGCTTCCTTGCCCGAGGTGCGCGCAGCCTTTTGTGCGCAATGCCGCTGCAGACCTGAGGCAGCCAGACAAGAAAACAGCCCAAGGGCGGGCAGAGGTGCCTCCGTGCCACGCAAAAAGCCTCCTCCGGTGTCAGCCCAGGCCCTGCCATGCTGTTGTAGAGCCTTCTAATACTTGTGAGATGCTTGTAGGTGTTGCGTACCTTGAACTTCCACGCTAAGATGGTCGCAGCCGAAGACAGGAGCCGATTGAAGTATAGAAGTCTTGCCCATATCGCGACGCACCATGGCAGTTCGACGCGATATGCCGCATCCCTGCTGCAATGGAGCCCCCTACCCCCAGAATATCAAATATTCCCCATTTTGCGATGGTACTCCCATGGGAGCATTGCGTACTAGGGATAGCAAGGGTTTATCGTTGGCGGTGGCCATGAGCACGTTCACATCCTCACCTTCAGCTTGCAAGAAGATGGCCTACGCAATTTTGGGTTCGGGACAGAAGCACTGCAACCCTGCTGTCTAGGGAAGTGAGGGTTAAAAAGCATTCTGGGTCAATGAATCCTGTCTTGTGTTCCCAATGAATAGCTTAGAGCAATCCAATTATTCTGCATGATTTCGGCCTCCAGGAAGGTAGACTGAAGCCTAAAAGCCAAACCCCACTGACCCTTGAAAGCCAAGCCTAACCACTACTAAGGAGGGACAACTCTTGTCTCTTCCACTCTATCGCATTCCTCACAGACCATGCTACTTTGTCGCACTGGTTTTTTTGGGGGTATCTTTCCTGTCTTGGGACGCTCCTCTGTCTCGGCAAGCCGCCATCTACCTTTCTCCGAATGATAATTTCATGTCTGGCTGCAGACATTCACTAGGAGCCTGTGTGCAATCATCTCCCTTTAACCAAAAGAAAACCTCAGCTAGGACTAGGAATATACAAAAACACCTCTTTCAGATCTCAGTGAGAAGGAAGGGATGGGAATATTCGCGAACGTGCCAGTCGCCTCTTAAAGATGTGGAGGTTGGGCTGGGAATATTCGAAAACGTGCCAGTCGCCCTCCTAAAGATGTGGAGGTTGGGCTGGGAATATTCGAAAAAACTGCAGTCGCCCTCTTGAAAATGCGAAAGTTGGGCTGGGAATATTCGAAAAAGTGCCAGTCGCCCTCTTGAAAATATGGAGGTAACTTGTATGAATGAAGTCATACCGTGCTTTACAAGGGGGTTCGCAAAGTAGTTGGTGATTGCCAACATGGAAAAAGGTTCCGTAGCACGCCGTCCTGGAAATTGCCTAAACATGAAACCCTAATTCTAAAAGCTCTTAACTCCAACCTCTGCCTCTAACCAAAGCGCGTTGAAGCTCTAAACCCCTGAGCCCTCAAACCTAAGCCGGGAATATTCCTGCTACACACCGAACTCACTACGACGCGATCATTGTCGACCACAAACGACGGCAATTTGCAGGTCAAGGGCTTTTGGGGGGTATTGGGTTAGGGGTTTTGTAGGCAGGTTCTGAACCAACATTTTTTTTGGGGTTCAGCCCACGTTACAATTGAAAAGTTGGATAATTGGGCTGGTGCTTAAGCACTCGAATTCCTACCGATAAGTTGTTGACGCCACGCCTTAAAGGCTTTTGTCAATTAGATCACAACAAGGGGCCAGCAAGTTTGCATAGGTCTCATTGTTGGAACACGTGGCGCGTAGTCAGAAAACCCCTGCGCATAGGCTTGCGCAAGTTTTGGGTACAGATTGAAACTTGCAAAAAAGCCGCGGTACCAGAATATTCAATGTTGCTCATTTCCCCCCTTTTGTCTCCAAAGCCCCTGGACTGTAACCTCTTAAGCGGCCCTCAACCTTGCACCTTGAAACACTAAACCGCTCAGCTCACCCATCAACCTGAAGACCTAGAGCCAGAGGCCAGACCTTGTGTAAGCTCTTCTTGCGAAGTTTCCTGCTAAAACTTCCGGAGTTGCAGCCAGGCGTAAGTGTAAGAAGGCAGCCTTGGCATTTGGGGCTTGGAAGGTTTGTGACAACGCTCTGGGGTTTTCATATTGATCTCACAACAGTCCTGCGTCGGAGACGCCCCGTAGCTAGCCAAGCCCGACTTTGATCATTTAATTGCTGCTCTCCGCCTCCTGCTGCTTCCCGTCCAGCCGTGATCCGCTGATCCTCCCGACGCGTTTCATAATCATACGGCCCGCAGCCGAATTTAAGACATACTCTGTAATCCGTAAATACGGATTTGGGCTCCCTCATCCTTACACCTCAACCCTGGACACTATAAACTCTCTACCATGGTTGCGAGCTTGGGTGAAAAAGCCCCCCAGCTGGACTGTGCAGGATGATATGAACTAAATGAGGCGGCAAAACACCTCCTGAAAATCGAGTGCCGTGGCTGGTTTTGGAGCTTTGGGGCTTTAAGACTAAAAATCTCGTCAGCGCTAATCACATAAGCGTGGACACCCGAAACTCCAAACCTGGCAGTCAGCAAGCCCCAGCAATGGAGAATGGTTTAATTACTGTTGGTTCAGGAAACGTAGGCTCTCAGAATTACAGGGCCATTACAGGGATTTGCGTGGAAAGCTCTTGCCAGAAAAGCTGTCAAATAGTTCGTGGCCTGCGAGGTTCCAAACTCTTGTCAGTAAAAGACCACGTACCCAAGACGCACATATTTCCCCGAACATACGCTACAATGCAACCAGGATTACTGAAATCCATGTACCCAAATACTGCGTACAGGGCCCTTTGGAGCGTACCTCATCACTTCCCCTGATGGTAAACACGCCCCGCAGCCATTATCACGAGGTGTGGGAGGGAGTTGATAATCCCTTCACCGAAAAATCGCCCTCATTCCCCGAAACACGATCATACCCATTATGGTACCTATAATATATATATATATATGGTGGTGATTACAATTAGTGGGTGGGGAGGTTCATGGTTTGGGCAGATGACGATGCTGGGGGATGTGCCACCTGCATGCATGTATGTATGGTATACATCCCTGTGTATATCTGTGCATACATATGTATGTGCCTGCATATGTATGCTTGCCTGTGTGAGTGAGTGTATGTAGGTGGGGTGAGTGAGCACAGGGCAGCCTAGGTTTGGAGATTGCATGGATGACCTGGTGGGGGTGACTGAAGAAACCGTGGGCATATTGTGCAGCTTGGCAGATCATGGCAACAGCAATGTGGTCTGTGACATTTTTGAGCTGAAAGCTTTGGTTCCGCCAGACGGTCAGGGCAGTCCATGGTTCCTTTGCAGGTATGCCCTGCAGACGATTCCTTTGATGGTATTTAGGATCCATTGCAGACACATTGTGGACAAGCAGCTTCAGATGGCTAACAGTTTGACGTGCGTTGCCGCTGCAGGCGAAGGTGTCAGCAACAAAGGGGGGTGTGTGGATGATTTTTTAAGAGTTATGCTTTGCTACCGATGCATCACGTTCATATTGCTTGTTGGAATTGGGCAGCGGTCGCACGCTGCCGGCGCGTTTCAGGTGGAGCGTCAAAACATGGACTTTTGCACGATGCTGTGATGAAACATTGCGCTTTGGCATTGCAACAACAGAGCAACGTGCGTTGACATTGGGATGTGACCATCAAGCGTTCCCATGTTGATGTCTTTTTGTGTGACCCCATGGAGTCTGGCAACTTTTGTGATTCCAAGGCAAGAACGGGACAGCATCGTGGGCCAGAAGCGGTTGCTCCTGAAAAAGCGGCGTCCTCAATTCGTGAGTGGTGAGCTCGTAGGGATACCTGAAGGTGAAGCATTCTACCAAAGTGTCGGGTTGGACTGGCATGTTTAGCAACACATACACCACGCGCACAAAAGCCGATGTGCTGTGCAAAATGAATATTTGGTGGTGCGCACTGAAATCGATTGCGTTCCAAGTCTCATGAGAGTTTTTTTGCATAATCCGAGGGTCTCAATTTTCAAAACCACCCACAATTAAAGACTTCGATTTTGGGAAATTTCGGGCTGCAATACTACTTACAAGTAAGGGGGGTTGAAGGGGTTTAAGCGCACGAACACCACCACATTTAAAGACTTAGATTTTTTGGGGAAAGAATCTAGAAAGTTAAGGGAGGAAAAAATCAACCTTTTTTTTCCGACTGCAGCGCTGCAGTCAAGCTCCATCAGAAAGTTCCACATTGAGTGGACCTGCTGGGCAGGCTCCGGCTCTGCAGTCTTTGAGTTTCTCTCGCAACTGCTCCATTTTGCGACTCTCCAGACTCTGAGTTCCTTTCAGCACTGCTGCAGTACTGCAAAACACTTCGTCGATGCTGCAGTGTCCGCACACGCCCAGCCTCTGCAAGAGCAGTTTCAGCTGGTTTTTTCCTGGCTGCACTCTTGTTTTTTCGACTGCAGCGCTGCAGTCAATCTCCATCAGAAAGCTCCACCTTCAGTGGACCTGCAGGGCGGGCAGCAAAAAAATGCACTACTCATTAATTCTCAATCGGAAACTGTCGAAAACCATCAGAAACTCATTGATTTTCAACCGAACCATCAGAATTTCACAAGCGAAAACCATCAGAAATTCGTTGATAATCATTCGAAAAGCCATCGACAAACATCAGAAAGTCATTGATTTCAATCGGAAACCATCAGAAATTCATTGATTTTCAATTGGAAACCATCAGAAATTCATCGATCTTCAAAAGAAAACCATCAGAGAGTCCTTGGTTTTCAATCGACAACCATCAGAAAGTCTATGGTTTTTAACCGAAAACCATCAGAAATTCATTCGAAAAGCAATCGAAAAAATCAGAAATTCATTGAATTTCAATCGAAAGCCATTCGAGACTAATTGGTTTTCATTCGAAAACCATCAGATATTCATTAATCCATTCCCCGTATTATTAAGTTATGGACCGGAGAAGCCCACATGTGTGGCTTAACCTAAATACATGTGGGAAAATATTATGAGCCTGTCGCCCGCAGACATAAGAAGACGCGTGTAGACAGAAGATGAAAGCATGAGAAACATACCCGGGAACGAACGAGGATGATGTTGTGCGATTTCAAAATGAAAGTGGTATGTGTTTCTTGTGTATGTATGTGCGATTTCGAGATGGAAGTGGTATGTGGTTCTTGTGTATGTATGTGTGCATGGATGGGTGGATGGATGGATGGATGGATGGATGGGTGGATGGATATGTGTTTGTGTGCAGGCCTGTATGTGTGTATATGTCTGCATGTTTATGTGTGTGTGTGTGCGCGAGGCTGTAGTTGTGCGTGTGTATGTGTGGTCTCGATCTCCGGGTCGTCCACGCACTAGACATAGTAAGTGCCAGGTTTCTATGATTAAGCGTTACAGCATGGAGCGAACTTCTTCCCAGACGGAATACTGAACCTGTTGGCCGGAAAACCAAAAAAAAAGCTGGCGGCCAATCTAATTGGGGCCCTTCTTTCCAGATATGGGTGACACCTGAATGCTCGCCTCCTCTGTACGTGGGACTGTATCATTGGCAGGAACCTCTCTATTAATGAATGCGCCCCAGGACCCTGCCCCTAAACTGACTACTCGCTGAAGTTCGGTGTGTCCAAAGATTGCGCGACTGCTTCTTTCGGCACGTCCGGGTGTAGAACAGATTCCACTGGCCAAGCCAACTTTCTTGCACAATCTTATGCTCTTGGCTTAACTTTTATGTAAGCATGCTATGGAAGCCTGAATAACTAGCAATCTTATCCTTTGTGATTGAGGCTCTACAGTATCAGCCTGGTTGAAAAGTAGTATTGCCAGGGGATACAGGAGTATCAACTCGTGAGTGAGAGCAGCTTGCGGTGTTGGAGCTTTGGGTCAAGGATTTGTGCCTGGGGCAATGAAACACATAGTGTGGACAGCATGACTAACTATTCAGGATGGAAAAGGAAAAGCTTGAGTTCCCCGCACTGGAGGCAGGGCACCCAGGGTTGAGCGCTTTGGAACGATGTCGCCAAAATTGATTATAGGATCGGGTTGGGCAATTCAGGATGTCTCAGGGACGCTTGGGGTTTAGTAAGGCCCATTAAAGGCATGATTCATAATTTAGGCCTTGCATGAAGCAGAGTTGCCCAGATAGGGGAAGGAGAGAGAAAACGGCAACTCAAGGATACGTGAGTCTGCATTCCTGCGCTTGTGTAGCTCGTTTCGCGGTTTCTCCTATGATGTGTTTGAACAGGTGAAAACATTTGCCGAATGAAATGGACTGAAAGAGTTTAAACATCAGCGACTTTGCTTTGTCTATGTTTTTGCAGTTTGTGCTCTACTGGGCACATAAGTCCGATTGAATACTTTTTGGCAGCATGTGTATCAAAAGTCTGCATACTGCTTGAACATGCCATGCGGCTTGACTGAGGGTAGGAAGGCTGGGGGGGCCTAAAGGGGGAGGAGGCCGCGAAGGCGCGCGCCGCGACTGAAGCCAAGAAAAAGGCCCATGCCAAGTCAAAGATGCTAGAAGCCAAAAAACGGGAGAAGGCGCGAGCCGAAGCCGAAGCCAAGAAGGCCCAAGCCCTTTCTGTTTTAAAGACCTTCAGCAGACGCCCGATGTTGAACTCGCACGCACATACGTACAAGATGCCGGCAACGGTTTAGCTGTAGGGCTCTAGTAAGCCCTCCCACAGCATTGGTAAACCGTTTACACGCAGTGCAGGGCTAACGTGCTGCAACGTGCTTAAGCATTTTGCAATTGTTCAAACAACCCTTTCAACAATCTGCGCATTTGGGGTCTACCATGTTTGAGCATGCTTCGCTCAGACATGGGTTCGTTGACGCCGTTTCAAAAGTTTCCCCCGCCCAACGCTGGTATAGCAGGACAGTTATCAATCCTCATTGATTCTTGGACCTCAGGCCAGCCGAGGCATAGACATGATAGGACGCGGCTTTATGAAGTACTAAATTCAGTGTTAGGGGCTTGGGTTTAAATTTGATAGGGTTAGGGCTTGCCAGTGACTACGATTTACTCCGCCAAGGCCAAGCCCAAGAACAAAGCTGAGGCTGAGGCCAAGAAAAGTGCGCACTTCAAAAAGAAGGAGCACGCTGAAGCCAAGAAGAGGGCTGAGGCTGCGGCCAAGAAGGCCCTGAAGTGCCAAAAGAGAATGGAGGCCGCGAAAGCGCGATCCGAAGCCGAAGCCCAAAAGAAGGCTGAGGCCGAGGCTAGGAAGGTCGAGGAGGCCAAAGAAAGGGCGGAGGCCCAGAAGGCGCACGACGAGGCCGGAGCTCAGAAGAGAGCTGAAGCCGAGGCCGAAGCTAAGCAGAAAGCTGAGGCGAAGTCAAAGATGCTTTCTCAGGCAAGAAGGCGCGAGAAAGCGCGAGCTGAAGCAGAAGCCAAGAAAAGTGCGAAGGCCACGGAGACCAAAAGGAGGGAAGCCAAGAAGAAGGCTGAAGCCCTCTCTGTTTTAAAGACTTTCAGCAAGGGCGCCCCATGTTGAACTCACACATGTAAAATGCCAGTCCAGGGAGCCAACAGCACCGTCAACATGATGCAGTCAGACAGGTCTTTAGATTTTCCCCCGAAAAGCGTGATCACCCTCATGTCGAAGAAAAAGATATGGGGTGCGGATTTGATTCTCAAAATTAAGGGGTGTAGGATGGAGTGATCTTGGGGGTACCTTGGAGTGATCTTGAGGGGGTCTTGGGGGCATCTTGGGGTATTTTGGGATCTCATGGGGGAGTCTTGCAGGGATCTTGGAGGGTGTTGCTTTAGGAAGTTTTCGGGAAGAGGTTTGCCGTTCTTTTCATGGCAATGAGAGAAACAAGCAGAACAGAACCAGAAGCACTGTCAGTGTCCGAAAGGAACAGCCCGAAGACCCTACAAGCCGCCAAAACCGTCAAATTCCAGGCGGCTTCGAGCAAGTGAGCCTTGTGCAACGGAAGGCAAGTGACGTGAAGAGAAGAGGGTGCAGCACACAAAAAAGTGAGCTTTGGATTGCGGGCGAATAGCTGCGCACATTTGCAAATGGACTCTGAGGAAGTTGTTGTTGTGAAATCCACGGCTGTTACAAAGCAGCAGACCAGCTAGGCTAGCCGTCATAGCAGATTGACAATCAAGAGCACTGTATTGGCAGCTGCTAGACGTTCATTAGCCAAAAGAATCTGCTGCGCATGGCTTGGCTTGACAGGTTACGAATGTGTTGAAGACACATGCCAGTGTCAGTTCGGATTGTTCTTTGCAGCGAAGAAGTGCTCCCACGATACAATGAAAAGCATTAGCCGTAAGTGATATTCATGTGTGGCACTAAGGGTCAATTTTTTCACATGCGTCATTTTGTTGCAAAAGCCACCATATTTTCATTTGAGAGGAGCGTCTAGGTGGCCGTGTGTGTTTGTGCAGGTTTTGCGTGTTTTGCCAAGATGGATCGGGTGGATGTTTAAGGAGCTTGGCCGGAGTTCAAATGACCGACGACGTAGAAGCAATGGGTCTTTGGATGTCAATTTGTTCGGACCGATTATTGCCACGGTGGTTCTCAGGATGCAGGAGGTTTTGTGCTTGCTCATCGTGCAACCCACACAGGTCCACCGTGTTGTTGCAGCAGGCAGGAAGTACGATAGCGCAAAGAAGGGCGCAGGATTCGTGACTTAGTCTACAATAGCAAACTATCTCCACCTTTAGAAATCAGATTTTGGGATGTCAATGTTGTTTTACAGCCACTGGCGCCAAAAGAATTGTGGGGTTGGAACATTACAGATGGGCGACCTCATGCGACCTCTTAACTCGGTTCCAACGGCTTGATGTAAACAGCCTTCACACCTTGGTTCCTGAGTTGCACTGCATGGACCTGGCCTGGGAGGATTTCTGTCGATGATTATGGAAAACTTTGAATATTGGCAAAAACTTTCTCAGTGCCGCCGTTAGTTTGTTGCTGTCACCGCCCAAACCTGTGGCTGCTCCTGGGGTGCATGTCGGGCAGCTGATTTGAAGACTGCTAGAATATTGTTAGCCGTTGTTCTTTGTCACAGGGTCAGGCGACACGCCCTCCTTCATCACGAGCAAAATTAATGTTACTAATGATGCTGACAACGACGACTGTAAGTTCCAAGGTTCGCTGGGCTGTCGTGTTCAGTCACTTTGTCATGGCCATGGCTCAAATCACGATTCCTCCCTCCTCTCCTCACACCCTCAGATGTTCAGATATAGAGCGTATTCAAAAGCGTATTCAAAATGGTTGGAGCACTACGGTTTTTCTCATCAAGTACTTTTTCGCGACCACTTGCTGTCAACGTATCATACTTGCAGTTTCTCTTCAGTAGGGACAAAGTTTTGGACAGAAAAGCCACGTTCCAGCCATGGATGTGGAAACAACCCCAATGGACCACTCCATGGTGCCCTGGCCTACAGCATAAGAGCCCCAGATAAAAGCAGGTCTCCAGAGACAGAAATAATGGTTCCTGTTCGACTTGCTTGTGTTTTAGGGATTATCTCATGGCAGGGGCTTGAAGGTGGAAAGTTGGCGAAGGCACCCCATCTTGCTTCACAGGGCGCGTCCTCTTTTGTGAGGCAGGCTACTGTACCATTTACTCCATGATCCCATACATGGTGCGCTGTCCACCCTCAAAGGCTCCTCAGCAGCAAGTTCTGCTTCCCTGGGCATGCCACTCAGCGTCGGCATGTGGGAGCAGCTGGCGGGGGATCAGGACATCAGGGGTCCTCTTTCAACATGGATATGTGGATTGTATGTGGTGTGTTGGGGAGTGTTGAAGAGGCACGGTGACTCTTGCACGTTCAGGTTGAGAAGTACCGGCCATCGTCGCTGGATCAGCTCGTGGCGCATGAGGCCGCGCAAGCAGACAATTCAAAATATTCAGCATAAAGGAGTTGTGCCCCTTTGAGTGCCTTGGGCCTTGGGCACCAACGCAAACATCACATAGGTGGCATGCCTTCAGGACATCATCAGAATGATCGAGCGGATGATGGTCAAGAAGACACTGCCTCACATGTGCCCGGGCTCAGCAAACCGAACGCAAACCATTGCCTTGGCTGAGGTTAATTGGGCAAACTGCTGTTGTGTGCTCGTATTCTTGAGAGCTTGTTGCTGCACTTTGTTGCAACCAGTACCGATGAACGTTTCCTCAACTTGTTGTCCGACTTTTGATGAATTGGTTGCCAGGTTGCTGCATGGTCCTCCGGGCACAGGCAAGACTTCAACGATCATGGCGTTGGCCAAGACTATGTGCTCCTGTGGGTGGTTATATGGAGCTTGTGTTAAAATGGGCATACATGGGCATATTGCCGTAAAAATGAAGAGGCATGCGCTGAGGATTTTGGGGCGATAGTGCGCGGTGTCTATATCCAGTTTTGCGCTGCCACACCTTCAGCATAGTATTGTAGCGACCTCAACAATATCTGACTGTCAGATGTTGTGATATTGCCTTGTGGTAGTAACTGTCTTGCTTGACGACAGCAGCATCTCATCCCGCAAAGCTGCCCGGGGCTGCGGGCTTTCAGGTACAAAGAGCGATACAAGTCAATGACGCTGGAGATGAATGCGTCTGATGCGCGTGGCATCGAAGTGGTTCGAGATCAAATCAAGACCTTTGCCGGCCACTCAGATCCTGCTTGGAGGGTAGAGACGGATAAGTGCACGGAGGATAAGACCCTCCCATTCCGTGTCATGTAAATGACAACGATATATACTACGACATATACTACGCAGCGCCTGTCGCTCTAAGTAAGCTTGCTGGATGACTGCACGTCACTGAATTGCTAAGTATTCCGGAGGTCAGTGTGAAGCAGCTGTTTGGCACAGTTGATGGACAACCTAAGCTGGTGATCCTGGACGAGGTGGGTCAGCGAGTGTGGTGTCGTGTTGAAGTTTTCTGGGTTTCGATTGCTGTCATTCATTCTGGTTCTGAGTAGAGCCGTGGCTAGGACCCGACCCTTCGACTACTCTTGTCATAATTCTCTACCTCTGGAGGCTGACAACATGACGAGCACAGCGCAGTTCGCGCTTCGGAGAATGATCGAGCAGTGCCCCATTTCAGCTGCTCCTAGTGTCCTGGGGATGCAGCAGCCTGGAGAATTCAAATCATGTTGTTCAGCTCCGCTCTTTCTCATATCGTTGTACTAAGATCATACAACGCAGTAAACGAAAGGATGCATGATACGCCCCAGAACCGTACTCAGATTATTCACGTTTCCATTCGATGCACAGGAGCCTGAACACTCTGATAACGCAGCCGCGCCAGCTCAGTTTTGCTACTTGTTTGATCCTCGAGGTTCTAGTAGTTCTTGCAGCTTCTCATGAGTGCCCTCAACTTCTGGGTGCCAAATACTCCCAAAGCATCCTTGACGAAGGACGGGCCAGGAAAGAGGATTATGATGTTGACACATGCCAATATTCCGGCAGTCACCAGCGTGCTTGCCACATGCACGGGCAACTGAGCTCTCCGCCTCTCATTTCGCGGAGGCTCGATATTTCTGGTCCTGATGCTTGGTTAGGGAATTGCCAAATTAAGATGTTCACAGGGCTTGTATTTCTTCGGAGTACCACTTGATCTGGTGCAGGAGGTTTTCCCGACAAGTCGACGCAGAATAACCCAAACATGGGTTTAGAATTTGGAGGAACTGCTCAGTTCAGCTTCCCAAGTTCACCACAAGAATTTCCCGGCATTCTGGGTCCTTGTTCGGTGTTTCACTTTGGCCAGAGCTCCGTATCCCTCGTTTGGAGAGGTCTAGGGATTTCACCTGAGACGTCCGCTTTGAGATCATCTAGGCAGACTGGATCTTGAGAAGAGGGTTGTCAAGGCACCACTGTCAATTGTTGGATGTATGAAAATACATTCATGGCGAAAACCGTAGTGATACTGCAGATTTGGCATGTGGAGTAGCAAAACCATGCAAAAGGAGAGCAGCCATGAGTCATAATCGATACAACTTGTTCAAGATCTTCTCAAAGCTGTCACAGCTAATGAATTGCAGCGTTGTGCGGCCTCCTGCAACATTTCTCCGAACTTCAAGTAGCAGGGAGGAGCTCTAAAGCCATGATGCTCCTCCTCGTGCTGGTTTGCCAACTCCACCTATGTTCTGCACTTCGCTCCCATGGAGATCAGGGGAGTAATGCCAGCGTGATGTCCGGGTGGCGATCGGACTTCGCGAAGACCAAGGTGACGGCTTCCGCCAAAAAGAAGCAGATGTAAAAACGTACTCAACCCTTGCCGTAAACTTTCTCTGCGTAGAGACCCCATAGGAGGACCCCTGATGTCCCGACGTTCCCAGACGTTCCCAGGTTGCACTGTGGGCAAACTTAGAGGATGCCAACGTTTACATGCTCTACGAGCTGGCTGCGGCACAGTTTTGGCCCTACCAGCAATATCGTCCCAATGTGCAAGCCATCTTTAGTGATGATCGCCGGTTCAACTCGGGGCTGCTGAAGGAAGCTTTAGGGCTTTAGGGTTCTTAGCCCCCAGTAGGTCCCACTCTCCATTGAGAGTCCCTAATTCTGCCCACCAGGAGATGGCCTGGAACAAGCTCTTGGACCCCGCCTCGTCGTTTCGCTCAAGCGAGGCGGATGTTTTCCTTATTGTGGCATCCTCCAGATACAAGCCGGTCAACGACAGGTTTATAGATTCTCTCTCTGGCTCGATATTCCTGGACTGGAGCCTGCGGGATTTCATGGTCCACCTTTACAAGGACTCAGGGGGTGACCTAACGGTGAAGAATCCAGCTTCTGTGGCAAGAGCCCTGGCGGTTGAATGGAATGGGAAGAGCTTCAAAGACTATCATTTTTGGATCCTACAAGCAAGTAAGCTGAAGCCTGCACAGTTGATCCTAGACGACAGGGGAGGCTCCACGTCCAGAGAGGCCACCGTCACGGAGGCCACAGATGAGGAACTCATGGTACAAAAGTACACACGGCAGAGCTTTGAGCAGTACATGGTGCCAAGAATCACGGCAGGTCCTAGTAACCTCGAGTATAAGATTGGCCTGGTGGGTGGCAATGGACCCATTGCTGGAGCTTTTGCTGTGTTGATCGTAGCAGAGAAGCTGCTGGAAGCTGGAAGAGGCCTTGGTCAAGTCACCTTTGTGAGGATCACTTATTAGGGTTATATTGGGATAATGGAAAAGAAAATGGAAACTACTATTTAGGGTTTAGGGATTAGGGGTTATAGTCCCCCTTACGTTGATAGAATGTGGCTTTGGGTAGCTTTTGTTTTTGTAGTTGTCTTCCTTTTGTTTTTGACAACGAGACAAGTGCCATGGATTTTAGCAAGCCTCGTTTCCAGACTACCCACTTCCTTGTGATCGTCCAGGTCTTGGCCACATCGGCCTAGAGGTCTTCTCACAGTCCCAGCATCCCATGTCCGCTATGGAGGCCTGCAGACAAAAGTAAGGAGGCTTCTATGTTCTATCAGGGCTTACATAGGGCGTACCTTGGGATTGTTGCAGTTCTTTGAGGCGTGTATAGGAGTTGATATGGAGAATCTCTGGACAAATGGGATTTTCCTGAGCGGAAAGTAAGCATTGTAGGTGAGTTGGAGACTCGTGCATTTGTTTTCGGGGTTCTCGCAATGCAGACTCACCGCATTTGGTGGGGGCTTCCTAGCTTTCCCAAACTAGCACTTCTTTGGGATCGTTCTTGTGGCGTCCGGAAGCACATGCCAAACTTTCCCTCAGCCAGAAGAAGACTAAGCCGATTTAGGATAATCTACACTGAAATGTATCCCCGATAGCTTCTTGGCGCACCGCAGATTGGCAGGGCCCCCCGGATAGGAGTACAGCTTGTATGGGGTGTTTCGAAGCTTCAAAATACGGGTAATTTCTATATTTCTGGTTCCCCCATGAGTGTGGACGATGTTGTAGGGGGGATACATGGAGGCCACAAACTTCGAGAAATGCCCAGATACCAGAAATCAGCATGGGAAACTGACACCAGCGTTGAGAATGCTACACCCAAACACAACCTCCAGCCCCCAAAACTGGAAGATAAACCACTGAGGCAGCAACACACCCTCTGATGGTCAAGACGTATGTGAGGAGCTTGAACGACTTCCTCACGCGCAAGGAGATCGGCTTGTGGTACAGCTTGAGGGGGAGGGTATTATGCGTTTCAGGTCTGAGGTTTGCGAATTTGTTTCTGCGAGGGAGTCCAGATAGATCAATAGGTCAAGTGAAAGCATTGCGGAGCAGACAACGTTTTTAGTCCTCAGTCGGGGATGGAAGTCGGCAGCACCTGCACCGAGAGATCCCTCCACCCGCCTGCCTGACAAGGATATCGACATCTATGGCTGCGCCAGCAACACCTGGTATCAGAACTTGTATGCCCCTGGGTTGTTTGTGATTTCTGTTTTCCTGGCTTGCTATAGCTGGTTCTATTGCTGTTACTCAGATCGAGGGGTCTCAAAATGATGGAGCCAAGAAATCCCAAAATTGTAGAATCTCCTTCAAGGACACCTCTCTCGTTTGATGTGTTTTTGTGTGGGTAATATGCGAGAATGGAAGAATGGAAACTACCGTATTATAATAGGGAATATATATAGGGGTTATATAGGATAATCAAAAAGACAATGGAAACCATTATGTGTTTTTTGAAGCTCCAAGGTCCCCAACTCTATGAGCTGGGGAATGGCGGTTCTGTCGGGCTTCCGGATGGTGCATATGCCGCGAGCTACCGTGCAAAAGGCCACCCAGTGCTTGAAGAGGAGAAGGCCGCGTAGAATCTTGAGAGTAGATGCCCTTAGACCTGGAAAGCTATGATGCGTTTTGCATGTTTTGGGAGTCGTTCAAAGTGTTCTGATCCGATTTGGGTGTCAGGCTTGGGATGATAGCAACTCACTGGACACACCGCGCAGGGCACATTTCGGGTGAAGTTGATGAAGACGGATTCCTGCTCGATGGAACGGGTATTCTGGAGCATGGCGTAGAGAGCGAGAACGTTTATGCCGTGGAGGTGCAGAAAGTTGCAGATGGCAGCGCGGTGCTCATCTCCGCAAATGTGGACACAGCTTGGGATGCGATCATGGTTGCCAAACATGGCGACGTGGAGACGGCCAAGAAGATGTTCATGGACGAAAAGGTCGGCAAGGTTGAGGGGCTTGGAGTTCCTGAACACTTCGGCAGCTCAAATCAAAACGTCTGGGCTGGAACTCGGGTTGTTGGAAATGTGAAGTACATCCACGAGCAGAATCTGGAGCTGATTTTACTAAGATGTTAAGTCTAACTTTTACTAGATCTTGTTCTTAGAGCCTAGCACTCCAGCTTAGGAGCGTGGACGCTATCATTGGCGGCTGCACTGAAGTGGGCCTTGCATTAGAGCAACAGGACCCGACGACGGGGCTAGGCTCTGTGGTTAGGGGGTTCAGGGGTACAAACAGGAAACCCAACGATATGGAAACTCAGAATGTCCAGCAGTGATATGTTTTGTCTTGTGGTTGGCTGGGATTAGGCTGCAATGGGAATGCTGTGCTGAGCAGGCTTTTAAAGTTATGGGTCTTCCTGGTGGGGCCCTTGTGTTGAGCATCTCTTTTGAGGGGTAGGGATCTCTAGGAAACCTGACTTCAAAGAAACACCCATGTTTGGGTTGGGCTTGGCTTTTGCCAGCCAAGCGCAGGATCTTGATAGCATCTCAACGCCCGGCTCCATGGCCTTCGTAGACTCGGGGGCCGTGCCAGGGTCCTTGTTAGTAGCTTCCTCTCTTTGCGTAGTTCCGACAATTCGTGTGCCAGCTCAAGCACGCCAGATCTAGGATTGTAAATGTCGCAACTGGGGTATATGCTGGGACTGTGTCTAAGCCTCGGCCCAAAGTTCAAAACCTCAAGCCCTAAATCTTAAGCCCTGAATCTTCAACCCTATCCCAGGTCATGGCAGAAGTCTTGGCAAAGAAAGCCCTGGCCCGTGGCAAAGCAATCTCGCTCTGCGACTGAGACTGCCGCATCTGCTCAACAGTAGAAAACAACACCTGGTGTCTCGTATTCAGGGACATCATCATTGTTGCAATAAGTCATGTTTGTTTCCCGAGGATTCAGGCTCATTTTCAAGGCCTTCTTTGCATTGTGTTTCTTCCTCTTGCAGCAATGACGCAATTGGCAGGGCCGCATTTCATGTGATGCGTAGTCAGTGATTCAGTGATGCCTGACTTTCTTGGATATCCTCTGCGCGTCCGAGCATCTCATGAAGTAAAGCGAGGTGAGGTGAGGGAGTGAGAAGTATCAGGAGAAGCCATAAGAACAAGATTAAAACATGCCCCTGACATGCCTTCGCAAGAAGACAGACCCCTCCCTCCAGCTCATGAACACCAGAAGCGCTGTGCACAAAAGGCCCTCTGTAGCTGTGAGCAGTAACGCGCATCCTCGCGCGGAAGCCAACCTTAGTTTTCAGTGCTTAGGATGGACTTCTTCACCATGAAAGGGGCATGTGACAGCCATCTTGTGATCGATTAATAAAGCCATGTAGACTTTGCATGCTCCAGTAGATCGGCCGGAATCAAAAGCTGCAGCAGGCTTGCATGAGACATGAGTCTGATTTTGAAATATGGAGTCAACTCCTCAAAGATCATGAGAGAGCGCACCG